TGCTATCTCCTTCTTACAGAGAAGAAACTGGCTACTTAAACCCCAGAGGATTCTTTCGGCAATCCTGGCATTGCCACGTCAGTGTAAGGCATTTCAGGCCTTACTTTTCAGAGGACTTTACATTTTTACAGCATTTTATATATTCAAAGCACACTTGTGTTCATTCCAAATGCAGCTGTGCTCAGTGCCCAGGTACCTCAGCCTGCGTGCCACAGCAACTAGGAACATAGAGATCACCTCCAAAATAAGTGACCTTCCAGAATCGCATAAAAACTCCTTGAGAGAACAAAATCCAGTCTTTCAGTGGAGCTTTCAAATGCCTCAGAGAGCACGCTTTTGATTCCTGCGTCCCTCTACTTAAATTACCACGCTTTCCAGCAATTAAAGCAAGGGTTCTGGAGGCAACAGCTTCCTTTAATAAACACCCCTGATTCATTCTCTGGGCACCATTCCTCCTGTGAAAAAATTATGTGATCACATAATTAAAGATCTTATCATTATGCATACATGCAAGGGACAAATTAAAATAGTCTGAACAATCTTCATTCTGACATTTTCCAACTTTTTTTGAATGCTCAACTTTCAAAGTCTATTGTTTGATTTCAAAGAATTAATAGAAACGATGGTTAAAAAACAATCAATCCCTGTAATTTACTGTATATTTAGCTAATTAAAATCCCATTACCTTGTACCATACTGATGCCTTCATGGCTGCAAAGCTTAGCTTTAGCAATGCAGATCTGCTCCTGGTGCCCCACGAGACTAAGGGGTGGTAGTAGCGGGCTGCTGTCTTCATTTGCTTCAGACATGTTTTGGCTACACATTTCACAGCTCTTTGAAGATATTAAAGAAACCCTGGAACTACAGCACCCAGCATCTAACTCCAGGCGTGACCATCCTCCCCTTCTCCCTTCTCCAGTTCAATCCTAGAGCCAAATTTAGACTTTCCCTATCTGCACATTTCCCTATCTGCACATCTCCTCTTGTCCTTGATTTTTCCACAGAATAGCCACCGCTGAAAGAAGTAGACAACAAGCTCACGAGTCTCACATGATGCTTGCCACCACAGTAACTGCTGAAGTTGTGAGGAATAAATTTAATTAAACCTTTTTGGACAGAGATTGAAGTATACTCAATACAGAAGCAATATGTAGAGACTACTGCTTACGACCTCTAAAAGAAATTCAATTGAATATACATAAATGATGACTTCAACGGGCTTCTAATTTGGCCAAATATTCCATGCAGAAAATAAAAAACACATGTAAGACCTTGCTTAGAAGAACGGCTTTCCAATGAATTAACTACAAATATTTCAAACTTCAGTAATATCTACTTTTAGTTAACGTCATTTAAAAGCAGCGACTACCTTAACAAAAAAATTCAGCCTGGATCACAGAAAACTGGCACAAACAGCAATCAATGTCTCCATGATGAGACACTGCTCCGTGAAAAGCAAGGACGGAGAGAGAGGTTACATCACCCTCGGCCACCACCGCTCCAGGGACGGGCACCAGCAGCAGGGGAGAAGCAGCAGGCCACTGAAGGCAATCTTATCTTCAACCGTAAAAGCTAAGTCTGTCTGACTCAGATCATGAACCATGGCTGTAAGCCTCTGAAAACAGGTCACCAGACAAGCACATCTGATGTATAACAGAAATACACACCTATTGTGTCCAGTGTATAGTAGGTAACCTTAGCATAAAAATGTACGTTACTATATTAAACAGTTTCATTATTAATTTCAGCTTTACTTTCACAGACGAGCAGGAAAGAAGGCCTCATTTTCAACATATGCATTACAAATGACACTGAAGACAAAATATTTATTTAATAAAAATGATTTTTTATATCATTACTACATATCTTCTGAAATAAAGATGAAATATTCATTAAAAAACAATACATGAAAAATATATGTTCTAAACCACGACTTCTTTTCCTGCTCATCACTTTCTTGCTACAGTATCCTGATTCTTAAAGAATAAATGAGTATCTGTAGTTGAAGCTTTCATTCCTCTAAGAGTAAATGACTGCAAAATGAATTGCAGAAAATGAACTTTGCATTCTGGATTTTTACAGTTCTAAATGCAGAGATGATGTATGATGTTGGGCAATTTTAATTAAAGAAGAAATATGTTCAAATGGAATTAGTGATTAAAGAGCTAAAACAGAGAAATATATTATTTTGCTGGTTGAATACAGCTAGGAAACCATGATACATATGTCTTGTCAAATTCAAACACCGTGTTTAAAAGGAAAAGAATCTTTAGTTCTCTGATTTAAAACCAATGAACCCAGGAAATTTCAGGTGAGCACTAGTATTGTGGTCATGAAAGACTCACTATTTCTATAGCATATACTATAATGGGAGAATCCCCAAAAGGTGAGGGACCTGGGTGGCAGTAGAAGGAACGCTTCTCAAGAACCTGGCAGTGGGTACCTGCACGCCACTCCCCCATCCAGAGCTGCCTTCAGAATCATTAGATGACATGAAAGATGCCACTCCCAACACGAAGAATGACCCAATCAGGTTCATGTCACTCAAATTCTTATCAGAATTTACTCATCAAGAAAAAAAGTATGTGGTGGAATATGTATCAGAGTAATTTGAGATCAGGCGGCAACAGCACAAAACTGCACTAACAAGAGGACAGGCTTCAAGAGAACTAACCTATAATCTCAAATATATATTACCAGGATCTGGAAGTGTACAGAGGGAAGGATGCTTTGAACCTGATCTGTTACAGTCTTTTCCTCAATACTTGCCAGTGGTCACTGTCTTTTATGTAGAGAGTCTGGTCCGACTTTCTTACTACCTGCCTCTTTTACACCTTTCCATACTTAATCCAAAACCCTACCTACTTCTACAGAAAAAATAAACTTTTAGGAATTTGTGAGTTAACACAAGCACCCTTGAATTTTTTAAGATGTTGGATACATGTTGAAAACACATTTGAGTTATGTGGGCTCAGTATCTCAACACTGACAAGGCTGGAGATCAAGAACAGCTGTGAGGGATTCTGATCTTTTAGGAATCCTACTTCTAAAAGCTCTTCCAAGTTCTAAAAAAAATTTGAAAGCTTATTCATGAGTGCTGTTAGAAAAGAAACCTTTGATTCTACAAATTGGAACAACTCCTGTGCTCTGTGAACTGCATTCTTGGTGCATGGATGTCTGCTCTGACAGCCTACAATCATCTCTTAGAAACCATTTACTCACCACCAGCTCAACTGAAAAACTGCACTTATACATCATTTTGCTCTAGCCTTAAAAATATTTTAAGCAACATACATTGCAAAGGTAGAAACCTGACAATTTAGCATTCAGTATTTTGTATTTAGATTTTAGGGTATACTATTCATTTCAATACTACTCCTGAATGAAATGCCATACTTTTGCCTCTCCACTGATAAGCTGCCCAGTATCTTCAGTAAAGTTAGACCTTTATGTTCTTTTTGTATTTTTCCTCTCAATTTAATATATACTTTTGAAATTAATAACTACCTTCCATGCAATAATATATATAGAACCATGTCACCATCTGAAGTAGAAACACAGGGAAGAGCTTAAGAAAAGGGAAGGCCTATGTTGATGCTTCTCCTAAAATTCTCTGCCTGTTTCCAGTAGTTTTTTGGCTCCTGGAATTTCCAAATAAGACACGTTGTCTTCATACCTAATAGCCTCATTTTCTGTGGATTTGTCTGGTTACTTTTTGAATTCATGGAAATTTTGGCATCCACATTATTCTGAGGCAAGCAGTTTCACAGCTCTGTGTTGTGGGAAGAGTAAGTTTCTTCTGTTGATTTTGAACCTGCTCTGCACTGATGGTTGTCCCCGAAATCCTCCCTGCTTGTGTCCTCCATGCTGCTCGTGATTTTGTATGCTCCATCGCACAGCCCTCCCTTTCAACGTGAAGAGTCCTTGTCTGCTTGTTACTCACACAGAAGTTGTTCAACTGATCATTTTTGCTGCACCTCTCTGGACCTTCTGTTCTGCTGCATCACGGTGTTTACAGCGGGGAGAGATGACAACCTGGAACTGCACCCAGCATGCAGGATGCACATGCAGCATGGATTAGAACAGCAGCATAGCAATGTGCTGTTTTCTTCTCTAGCCCTTTTCTAATAATGCAAGTCATTTTCTAGGACTGTTCTTGAGTGCTTCAAGTAATTAAACTGACACAAGACAGGTTCTTTTCTGTAACCCCAGAAGTCCTGTTCCTGAATGGTAACAATCAGCCCAGAACCCATCACGGGACCCTGCTCCTCCCTCCACGTACATTGCTTCACTTTTAGCTACCCAGAATTTTATCTGCCTTACTACTGCTTGGCTATTTGGGAATACTGTCATCATTTCCCCAATAAGTACAAGCAAGCCGTAGTGAAAATATTCACTGCTTCCCAATCACACCATAGCTTCCACCAGGCAGCAAGGAGACTTGGACGTAGTAGTGGGACAGCCAGCAGCGCTACAGAGGGAGGGGAGGAGATAGTAGAACACATTACATTAGGCAGCTTGTTGAACTCAGTAAAAATACACTACAATGAGGTCTCGTTATGTGGAAAGTGTGAGGCAACTGTATTATACTCTTAATTAAATCAACCAAGAAAAAAACAAACAAACAAACAAACCCTGCCAGAGATTAGTTTCTGAAATAATCCATTTAAAATTTAATTTAAAAACCATACTTGCAATTTTCAGAAGTCATTCTGCTTTTAAGAACAGTATACATGCTATAACTATGCAGAATAGAGCCATATTTTATATATGAAAGGCTGACCCGCTGTTTATTTAGACACATACACATGTGAATGTGCTCACACAGGGAAAGCAGAACTGGATTCAGTCCCTTCTCTGCCTGAAGGGATCAAACCTACATCTCCCACGTGTGTTTATATAAATATATGAATAGTTGTAAAAATGTAAGTCTAAATATTTACATGTACCGAGCACATTTCTGATAATTTTGTTTAGCTAATAAAAATCTCTTTCAAAATGTTTTTACACCTCTTAACTGAATACTAATGCCCAGTCGAATGCAGCTTAACACACATTTTGATTGAATGACACAATGAAACCCATAAAATTCAAGAATCTTAATATGCGCTAAGGTATATAAATTATCTCAATACACATGTACTGGATTATTTGGTCTTCTGGTCAACTCAAAGAAACTTTGCGTTTAAAACAAATGTTTTGCGAATGGTCTGCATACTAAAATGTGCTCTAAATGCTGTACTGAAAGTGAGACAAAGTTTGGCTTGGCTTACACAACATGCATTAAAACCAACGGTGTAAATACAAATTTTCTGCTTGTCAGTTTTAAATCATGGTTTTAAAATCAACCAGTATTTGACATTAAAACCAAACTGACCCTCAATGTTGAGCTTTCCTATTGATACGGCAAAGTCTGGAGCAAAGCCTGATGATCTAAGTCAGGACCAGTTCCCCAGCATTAGGGTAATGGCTACAGCTCTGGCACAGGATCTGAGATGACGTAAGCGATACTTGGAGCAAATCTGGCAAATATTCCAGCCTCAGTGATTAAATTGTTTGCTGCTTTCCTTTGTTCATCTGATCATTTGTTTAATTTAGGGCTGACTTAGTCCCATATGCACAATTATATTGGAACAGGACAGTTTGGTAGCGTACTATTTAGAAATGCAGAACCAGCTCCAGCTTTCCTGGTGGGGCAGACATGGAGCTTCTGCCACAAAGGTGAATAAAGGC